TATACAGTCAATTCCCTTTACAGTGTGTTCTGTGAAGCGCTTTGGGACGTCCTCCCGACGTGAAAAGCGCTATATCAAATGCAAGGATTATTATTATTATTATTATTATTACCCCCTACCCGCCCTGTCCTCCACCCTCCCCTGGAGCCAACCCCCTCTGCTTGGGTCTAAATCCCTGAACTGTCCAGCGCTTTGGGACGTCCTCCCGACATCAAAGGCGCCGTGGTAAATGTAATGTGCTGTTGTTGACGAATTATATCGTACGTGAAGCTCTTCCGAGATATTTAATGAGACCACCCAGCACATCCCATCTGTTTTTTTGTCGAGTTTGGAGGGGAAGGCGTTGTTGACAGTAGAAATGGCTGTGCCGCGCTGAGTGTGAAATGCCAGGGTTATTTTATCCGTCAGTCGGAAAATTATAAGACCATAAAAGAACGTGTAAAACAAACCCGGAAGCCTGCCACTAGGCGGCAGAGTTACTGCAATACAATACCACCTGCATTTAACAGGCGAACGTAAGAACAGAGGGAGAGAGCAGTGAAAGTGCTTAGATTTATAAACCATAGAACAATTTGGACTAAACCGAGTGCAGCCTAGTAGACCGCGAGCAGACACAGCGAATCAGTCTCTCGCCTCGCGCTCCATCCCACTCCCTCTCAAAACCGCTCGTTACTCCCCTCCTCAGAAAAACCACCCTCGATCGTTGCAAACTCTCCGGACCATTTCCAACTTGCACTTGCTTCTTTGCTAAAGTCCTGGACTGAGGTGTTGCCAACCAACTTCTCTCGCACGTCTCCCTCCACTCCCAACTCGAGCCCCTCCAGTTTCGCTCCCGCGCTGCCCGCAGCAGAGACAGCGCTGGTGAAAATCACAAATGGCATCCTCTCTCTCTCTCTCTCTCTCTCTCCACGTTTGTCCTGAATTCTCTTTTAGACCCGTGAGTGGCTCTATTGATGTCCCTGGATCCATCAACAGAGAATCGACCTTATAATAGTCACAACGCAACACGAAGCACGAAAGGGGCAGAATTGCCCTCGTTGAGCGTGGGGAGAATTGCCGTTCTAACCGTCTCGAAAATCTTTGTGCCCAACTCCTTAAAATAAGTGGCAGCAAGAGTTAAACTTTAAAGAATTATAATATTCGGTTAAACTGAAAACGCATATTCCCAGAAAGCAAACAATTACTCTACAACTGAAACCACTTATAATAATAATAATTTGGTCACTCTAAACCACTAATAATAATAATTTGGTCACTCAATCCACAAATGTTTGCGGGACACTGCCGTCTGCAATTGGCTGCCGCATTTCACCCACAAAATATACAGTCAACTCGCTTTACAGTATTTTTTGCAAAGCGTTTTTAAACCTTTCGAAGATTAAAAAAGGCACTGTGTTAAATGCAAAGGTTATTATTATTGTTGTCCCAGCGTGAACATTGTCGTAAAACAACTCGGTAAATGTCAAAACAAAAAACTATCAATATTATATGAAGAAAGTCACACACACACACAGAGAGAAAATCGATTTCCACAATATATTACCAGAACGGCAGCATATATTACTCAGCTGGACACAGTCTGCTCCTCTGCCCAGCTCCAGCCCTCTCACAATGAGCAAACCACACACTGCTGCGTTACCATTGCTGTCATTGCTGAGTTAGACTATTCACAGCAACGATAATAATAATAATAATAATAATCCTTGCATTTGAAATCGCGCCTCATCGCGTCTTTTCGAGACGTCTCAAAGCGCTTCACAGCATGCACTGTAAAGTGGATTGATTCTGCATTTTGTGGGTGAAACACAACAGTTAATTGCACACAGCAGTGTCCCGCAAGCAGGCACGGATTGAATGACCAATTTTCTTTTGGAAGAGGTTATTACTCTCAGCCAAGCGACGAACAAAGGAATTTCTCGTACTCCTCGGTAAACGGCAGCACAGGGAGTAAGGAAACTTGCCCAAGGATTTGCCCCGTCCTGGGAATCAAACCCACACGGTCCTCTCGCTTGCGGGGCGACGACTCTAACCACTTTGCCACGAGACTTCACCTACGTTACAGGCACTAATGCAAACTATTCCACTTCAGAAAATGGAAAAGAAAACAGCACTGCACATCCGCATTCAGTCATTTGACCATGAAATGGCATTCAGCCAGGGAGACAGAACAGATGGTCAGTTAACTGACAGGATGAAGTCAATATTTACCCATAAATTGGTGCTGGACTTCTTTAAGCAGGTAACTAGCCCGGTAGATGAGGACCGACCAGTGACAGACAGAATTAAATACAAATCAAATTTACTTCAATTTTTTGGAAGGTACTTTGATAGAATGCGTGCCAGGCAGGGTAATGCTCAGGGGCGTGAAGGGCGGATTAGCAAGCCAGATAAAATAAACAGGTTTGGACTGCAACGGGAAGCAGAAGAAAGTAAACAGAAAGGTTCCACCGGGGAACAAAGATCTGTTCTCGGTTGCAGGATGTTTGTACGTTTACAACAGTAAGACACAATATCCACGGTAACCAAAAAGTTGTGATGCCATTACAATGTCTAATAAGTCTTAAGGAAATGGTGATATTTTTGTTTAGGTAATAAGGTAGATATCACGGCATGTTGGTCCTTATATATATATATATATATACGCGCACACACCCTGTTAATCCCACGTAGCTATGAGAACAGGTGAATAGAACACATTGATGCATTCACAGATACATAAAAAGCAAACCAGTTGCAAAAGACCCAGAAGCTCTTTGAATCCACTTAGAAAGTGGCTTCTCCCATTTCCACCTCCGCCCAATGTTAACCCCACAAACCACCACCCCACCGCCCCCCAACCCCCACCCCACACCCCCACGGAGGCGAAACATTTTGAAATTTGAAGAAAAAAAAAGTCGATCAGGAAAATTCCTCCCCAACTCCTGAAGACAACTGATCGAGTTCCAAGTCCACAGGTCAAATTCTCGCTCGCTCACAGGTCGACCCCGTATATAGGTGACCAAAAAGTCTTATTTTTCAGCTGCCCTATCTATCTAAAAAACAATTCATTAAGACCCACTAGACATTGTCATGGTATCCTGACTTTTTGGTCACCCTGTATAAAGAAGATTAAAAAAAAAGCATGAAAATGTGGATCAGTTAAGTAAACAAGACACCTGTCAAGAGGGAAAGGCACTGAATTTTGTTATAAATATTACAAACCAAAATGAAATGCGTAGAATATTCGGCTCGATCTTGAGGAAATGTGACTATATATTAAACTGTTGCCTCATGTTTCGCCCACAAAATACACAGATAATCCGCTTTACAATATATCCTGCGCAGCGCTTTAAGGTGTCTCAACGGGTGATAAGGCGCTATATCGAAAGGAATTATTATTATCATCATCACTGGTGAGGCCACATTTGGAATATTGGGTGTTGTTCTGGTGACCAGACCGACAGCACTGAAGCAAAAGAATAATTCTGGGATTTACGCTGCTTTGCGGAACGGAACAAGAATTAGGAATGTGATTGAGAAAGGCAGGATCCAGGTCTTTATAAACCAACAATAACTGGCATTTACACAGCGCCCCTCACGCAGAGTGGGGTCCCAGAGCGCAAGGAGGTGGAGGAGGAGCACGATGCCAAGCGGGGTGTGTGGGGGGTGGGAGGGGACTGTGGGCACGGTCGAAGAGGAAGGTGCGACCTGAAGATGGGGAGGGAGGGGGCAAAGCGGAGGGAGTGTACCAGAGTTTCGGGGCAAAGTGGCTGAAAGCGTGGCCACTGATGGTGGAACGGAGGGAACGGAGGGCACGGGGGACATGCAGGAGCCAGCCGAGCGGAGGCAGCGGGGAGTGGGCCGGGGGGGTAAGCAGGTCGAAGAGATAGGGATGGGGCCAGGACAGGACATCAAGGGATTTCAAAAAAGGGTGTCGAAGATCTTGCAATCGATCCGTTCGGCTGCAAATGAAATGTGAGACACGAAGATATGGACAAGACATAGACCACAAGATTTTAATGGGAGGATAGAGGGTGTAAACTAAAAACCCTCCATCTGAGGGGAGGAGGGGGGAGAGGGGGGGTACAGAGAGAGGGGGGGTACAGAGAGAGGGGGTACAGAGAGAGGGGGGGTACAGAGAGAGAGGGGGGTACAGAGGGAGAGAGAGGGGGTACAGAGAGAGAGGGGGGTACAGAGAGAGAGGGGGTACAGAGAGAGGGGGGGGTACGAGGGGAGAGGGGGGTACAGAGAGGGGGCAGGAGAGAGGGCGGGAGACAGAGAGGGGGGGAAGACGGAAGGGGGGGAGACAGAGAGAAAGGGGGAAGAGAGAAAGGGGGAAGAGAGAGCGAGAGAGGGGGGAAGAGAGAGGGGGAGAGAGAGGGGAAGAGGGAGAGGGGGGAGAGAGAAAGGGGAAGAGAGAGCGAGAGAGGGGGAAGAGAGAAAGGGGAAGAGAGAAATGGAAAGAGAGGGAGGGGGAAGAGAGAAATGGAAAGAGAGGGAGAGGGGGGAAAGAGAGAAAGGGGAAGAGAGAGAGAGGGGGGGGAAGAGAGAAAGGGGAAGAGAGAGAGGGGGGGAGAGAGAAAGGGGAAGAGAGAGAGAGGGGGGGAAGAGAAAGGGGAAGAGAGAGAGAGGGGGGGAAGAGAGAAAGGGGAGAGAGAGAGAGGGGGGGAAGAGAGAAAGGGGAAGAGAGAGGGGGGAGAGAGGGGTGTGGGGGGAGAGAGGGGGGAGAGAGAGAGAGAGGGGGGATTCAGAGAAGGGGGACAGAGACAGAGGGGAGACAGAGAGGGGGGACAGAGACAGAGAGGGGGGGAGACAGAGAGGGGGGGGGAGAGAGAAAGGGGGAAGAGAGAGGAGGGAAGAGAGAGCGAGAGAGGGGGGAAGAGGGTGAGAGGAGGGAAGAGAGAAAGGGGAAGGGGGGACAGAGAGGGGGGAAGAGAGCGGGAGAGAGAGAAAGCGGGGTGGGGGGGGGAGAGGGGGTATACACGGCAGTGGGGGGTGAGCTGTGTCTCGGAGTGACTGACCTGTACGGGTCCGGTGGGGCTGTCTAACTGCTTCTCTCGGTACAGAGACCAGAGCCCCACGTTGGGCAGAAAGACCAGTGCGAGAATAACCAAACCCACAGCCTGGAGGAGCCGCTTCTGCCTCCGTCTCATAGTCCTGTCTGTGTCTGTGTGTGTGTGTGTGTGTGTCTGTGTGTGTGTCTGTCTGTGTGTGTGTGTGTCTGTCTGTGTGTGTCTGTGTCTGTCTGTGTGTGTGTGTCTGTCTCTGTGTGTGTGTGTCTGTCTCTGTGTGTGTGTGTCTGTCTCTCTCTCTGTGTTTCTGTGTCTGTGTCTCTATCTGTGTTTCTGTGTCTGTGTCTCTATCTGTGTTTCTGTGTCTGTGTCTCTCTCTATGTTTCTGTGTCTCTCTCTATGTTTCTGTGTCTCTCTCTGTGTTTCTGTGTGTGTCTCTGTGTTTCTGTGTGTGTCTCTCTCTCTCTCTCTCTCTGTGGGTGTGTGTGTCTGTGTCTGTCTCTCTCTCTGTGTGTCTGTGTCTCTCTCTCTCTGTGTGTGTGTGTGTGTCTCTCTCTGTCTCTGTGGGTGTGTGTCTGTGTGTGTGTGTGTGTGTCTGTATCTCTCTGTGTGTCTCTCTCTCTGTGTGTCTGTGTGTGGGGGGGGGGGTGTCCCTGTGTGTGTCTCTCTGTGTGTGGGTGTGTCTGTGTCCCTGTGTGGGGGGGGTGTCTGTGTGTCTGTGTGTGTGGGTGTGTCTGTGTGTGGGTGTGTGTCTGTGTCCCTGTGTGTGTGGGTGTGTGTGTGGGTGTGTGTGACCCCTCAGCCGCCGGTGCGGTGGTTGAGGGATGAAGTGGACACTTTGTAACGATGTTCTTTCTCTCCGGTTACAATGTTACAACTTTCTTCCTGCGGTTCCCGACGGCGACTACAGCTTCCGCCCGAGCGCTCCCACTGCCCCCGCGGGGGGGGGGGGGGGGTCGCTACAGGAGAGCCACCGGACTGATCCATTCCCCCCCAACCCCCCCCCCCACACACTGTGCTCTCTTCCCCACACTCTTGTTTTGGTTTAACCCCCTCCTCCCCCCCCCCCACCCTGGGCTGGACCCCCCCCCTCCCCCCACACTGTGACACTCCCCCCCCCCCCACAGCGGGAAGTGAGTTGGTCCAACCAACGCGGATCGCGGCGGCGGCACTGAGAGAGAGAGAGAGAGAGAGCGGCTGTGGGTCGGGGATGAGCCGCGGCTTCTCCGCTGTTACTGTCCCCCAATCGGTGCGAAACCAGTAGAGAGGGGGGGGCTGGGGGGGGGGGGAGAGAGGGGGGAGGCTGGGGAGAGAGGGGGGCTGGGGGGGAGAGAGGGGGGGCTGGGGGGGAGAGAGGGGGGGCTGGGGGGGGAGAGAGAGTGGGGGGGCTGGGGGGGAGAGAGTGGGGGGCTGGGGGGGGAGAGAGTGGGGGGGCTGGGGGGGAGAGAGGGGGGGCTGGGGGGGGAGAGAGGGGGGGCTGGGGGGGGAGAGGGTAGGGGGGGAGAGAGGGGGGAGGCTGGGGGGGGGAGAGAGGGTAGGGGGGAGGCTGGGGGGGGGCTGGGGGGGAGAGAGGGGGGAGGCTGGGGGGGGGAGAGAGGGTAGTGGGGGGAGAGTGTGTATATATATCTAATTGTGTATATGTATGTGTGTGTGAGAAAGTGTATATACTGTGGTGTATGTGCGTGTGTTGAGTGTGTGTATGTGTGAGTGTGTGTGTGAGAGATTGTATATTCATATATATATATATGTGTGTGTGTGTCCAAGAGAGAGAGTGTGTGTATGTGTGTGTGTGTGTCATGTTAACACGATCAATGTTGACATGAATCAGTCAATCAATCAATCAATAAATCAATCCATCGATCGATCAATCTCAGCCCCAGTCAAACAGCCTTCACAAACCAGCAAAGTCGATCACTGCAACTGAACCTCACTCCATCAGCGATGAATGTCTGTGTTCGGAGCAGAACAGCTTCACATTAACATTCAAACCAACATTTCATTGAAAGTCTCTTAATTAGGGGGTGTGGGGGGGGACTAGACAAGTGTTGATGGGGCTCCACTGGAAATATCCGAATAAATCAATATATATATATAATATACATACAAACATAATTGTTTACCAACCCTTAGACAGATGAATGCTGTTTAATTTTATTCCCTTTAAGCAGATCGAGCAAAAGGGAACAAACACGTCGATCCTATTCTGCCCCCAATCGTGTATTAATTGACTGTTATGCCAAGGGCGGTTCGCTCTGAAATTCTAACAGGGAAGTAATTGGCATTATTCCGGGTAAATCGCCCCTCCTCCCGGTGCGCCAAAACAAAAAGGATATTATTTTAGATGTCGATTTTTGTTTCGCAAATTATAAATGCAAAGCACTTGTGTTGAGAGGCAGCACTTTTTTTTTTTGGACGTGTGGGCAGACAGGATGGACTGTGTTGAAAGGCATCCATCCCAGCCCTGCGGTGGTGTGTGTGTGTGTGTGAGTGTGTGAGTGAGAGAGTGGGCACATCAGTCACGTCCTTCTGATTGTTTATTGACTTTGCTTTTGCCCTCTGTCTCTCTCCCTCCCTCCCTCCCTCCCTCCTCCCTCTCTCCACACTGTGTCTGTCTGCCATCCCTGCACTTACACACACAAACACCCCACAGGAGCCTCACTGGCACCAGTGTGAGCTGACTTGGTGTTGCATTCCCCCCCCCCCACCCCCCCCTCTGGATTTCCCCCCCCAATCGACAAACAACCAGGTTCCTGCTGGGGTTAACACATGTACAGAGGAAGGAAACTTGCCCAACATTTCGCCCTGCAAACCCGAGTCCTCTGGCTTATGAGCTGCAGGACTCCGCTCAAAGTCCCCTTTCCCTGCCCCGACCCCACCCCAATCCAACCCACAAATACATCACAACTCGCACTTACACAGGTGTGAACCTGGCTCCGTTGGTAGCACTTCCGTCACTGAGTCGGAAGGTTTGTGGGTTGAAGTCCTATGTCAGGACTTTGAATTAATTTAGTCTTATTCCGACGCTTTGATCCGGCGCTGCCTTGTTAGAGGTGCCGTTCTCCAGATGAGATGGTAGTCAGAGGTCCCACCTGCCTGTTCAGGTGGATGGTAAACATCCCATGGGGCTATTCGAGAAGGGAAAGGAGTTTCTCTCTTCCCGGTGTCCCTGGCCAACAATCCCCCAAGTCAAACTGGTCGCTCGTTTCATGCTGTGGGATATTGCTGTGTGCAAATTGGCTGCTGCACTCGCCTGCAAAATACACAAACCGTACTGTATATGTTACTGGATCAATAGTGACAACAGCCCCATCGATTTAGGAAGTATCCTGTAGCTCAGTGGTTAGAGCACTCGCTTTGCAAGTGAGAGACCTGAGTTCAATTCCAGGCAGAGGGCGAAACCTTGGGCAAGTTTCCTTACTCCACACAGAGCCTAATAATAATCCCTCCAAAACCCAAAAAAATAATAAATTGGTCATTTTCAATCCACGACTGTTTGTGGGACATTGCTGTGCGCAATTGGCTGCCGCGTTCGCCCACAAATATACAGTCAATTCACTTTACAGTGTGTTCTGTGAAGCGCTTTGGGACGTCCTCCCGACGTGAAAAGCGCTATATCAAATGCAAGGATTATTATTATTATTATCATCGGAGTCGTTCACACAAGCGACCCCTAGGCAAACGCAATTGTTCCTGAGGACATTGTTCATTAAGACAAAGTGAAACATTCACAAAAGATATTGCAAAGCTCAGACAGTACTGTATTTCCCTGTCATGTAAAACAACCTTGTGGAAACCAACAACAAAGTTTCTGCACCTCAGTAAGCTGACAGAAGGCGTCTGCGTAATAATAATAATAATGATGATCCTTGCCCTTGGCAAGGCTTCCTTTCACATCAGAAGGATGTCTCCAGAGGTGCTACACAAAGAGTTGGCTGAGCATCTGAGATGAGATGGGGAGGGGAAGCTGAGGGGGTCTGCGGGGAGTGGGGGAGACAAGCGAAACCTGTCTTAAAAAAAACGTGTCTGAAGACGGGTTTTGAACTCAGAGAAGCAGGGGGGCCAAGCAGGTCATGGACTGACTCCCCCAAAAGGACTCAGGGTTTGTCGGTAAAATGGGGGGTTAAAAGGATCAATGGATATTTTTCTTAAAAAGTAACTTCTTATCAATATGAAAGAAACAACAAAATTACATTTGTGTAGAGCCTTCCACGTCGTGAGGACGTCCCAAGGCCCCGGGACAAAAGAAGACAAAAATCTAAAGAGATAAAAGAATCTTTGTGGGGAATTCAATTTTAATAATCTATCGATTAAATCATTTACAATGGAATTAATCTATTGATTACATCTTGTGCAATGGATATAATAAAGACACACACATGAGGGATGAGAAGGAGAATAACAAGCTCACAAATTACTCCAAAAACGGAGACCAATGTGCCAAACCTTTTTTTTTTGCTACTTTCCAAATGAAAACGGTTTTGAGATTAATAACTCGAGCAAAAGAAGCCTCAGCGCACGTTTGTTGCGAACCTATACTTCAACCCTGATAACATTTCATCACATATTCTTTTATTTTGTTGAGTGTCAGCCTGTTGCAGTCGGTAGCTCTCTCGCCTCTTGAGTCCGAAGCTTGTGGGTTCAAGCCCCACTCTGACTTTAAGCTTACAGTCCAGCCTGACGCCCCAATATATTTTGTGCTCGAAAGGAGGTTAGGTTTGAATGATGCAAAAATCCAGGTACATTTTCTAGATACGTTTCGTTCATTATTTGGGGGTTTATGGGCTGTATGTGTCTATAACCTTCCTCTCTCGGAGACAAACCGGGGTTGAGATCTACAATCGCAAGGCTGTGGAAGGAATGGTTTGGGGGGCCAACTGCCTCATTTACCTTCCATGATTGTTGTGTAATAATCCCTTTAAAAAAAATGGTCATTAATCCATGACTGTTTGTGGGGCTGTTTGTGCAATTGGCTGCCACGTTTCGCCCACAAAATCATACAGTCAATTCACTTTACAGTATATTCGGTGAAGCGCTTTGAAACATCTAAAAGATGTGATGAGGTGTTATATCAAATGCAAAGATTATTATTGTTATACTAGATAGAGTTACCTGGTTTTGACCATAATTATTGCTGGACAGTTATTATCCAATCTGGAAAAATCCAATTTTTACTTCTTCCACTTA